TGTGATGGTGACTAAGTCATATCTCTCCCGCTGCACAATGGCTTCCAGCTCCTCCTGTTTGCCGCCCATGCTGCATGCATTGGTGTAGATGCACTTGAGCTGGGCTATTGATTTCGCCCCCAACATTGGCAGGTCGTTACCCTCGGCTCATCTCTAGTGAGCCTGGTTTTATCCCCTTCCCCCTTCGAACCTACTTTAAAGCCCTCTCAATGAAAAGTTATGGTTCTGGCTTTCAAAACCATTTGAAAGGTGAGAAAAATGCTCATATACAGGAAATGAAATGGTTTCAAGCACTAATCAACCAGTAAAGCATAAAGGAATTCTACTCTGCATAGCAATTCCCCTGCAGCTAACAAAGCAAGATCAGGGCTAACATTTTTGAACCGTGTGTACCCACACTTAGATTACCAACATTGTCAAATTTAGAGTTTCGCATTATAGATCTTCAGCTATAGGGTGAAGGTGCCTCTCCATGGTGGAGTGTGTTACCAGACATAACGTCCGGTAAGACAGTACCCTGAAAGCCATCGTCAGCACCTTCTGTGGTGGAGGCAACAGTGTACATTTATATCACAAAGTAGTGTTCTAAATCTTTACCGTTTTGAGGGAGAGAGCCTTGTCTTCCAGACAGCCTCAACTGTACTGAGGATGGATGCTTGCTTCACTGGTACCTGAAAATTGTTGTCTTATTTCTACCTTTTTTTTCCTACTTCTTTTTCAATTAGCAACTTGCAGCATTGGTTACATACTTTTAGGAAGTACCTTGACAGATTGTTTTAGCCTTTCTGGAAATAACAAGCTGCATGTAATTCAAAGGATTAGCAAATTAGAGCGTCATAAGAATGAATTACAGAAATGACCCGTGTTCTCTAGTGCTTGCTTTTTGAATCATAATGAAGGTGACTTCCTTGAGGCGATTAAGATATTCCTTAGTTTTGCTCTTTATCCCATACAAAAATACTAGCTCCCTAACCAAGGAATCTTAATAAAGGGCAATTTTCAGGAGCAGGGTCTAGATTCAGTTTGGGCATTTCAGCTGATCTGGTGAAGACAATGTGATAGAGAGGGATAGAAGATTTTGGAGGGTTGAAAGAAGGAGCTGGGTGGGCTGCGGGCAGCTGTGAGCCAGGCTGCAACCTCAGGCCAACAGGCAGCGCACACACACATGCACTGTTCTAGCGATCAGACACATCCTTCTTTCTTTCTTCAAAGGTATGGTGCTGCTTAGAGGTAAGGTTGGAAAATGGATGCGAAACAGGTGGTAGGCTATTTATTATAGATTAAGTGCTGACAGTGTGCTCTGTGCTGTCAAAACATAAAACCATGTTTCTTTCCCCGTGGAGCTTCCTCCTAAATAAATGGACCAGTCAGACACAGAACTGTTCAGCAGTGCACAGCAGCAGTTTATTAAAAAAGTGAAAAATGAAGCAAACAAACCAGCATTCTCTACATAACAGACAAACACAGCATCATAGGAGAATTGATACTTCAGATGGTTTTAATTGCTGGTTCTCAGCTGGTTTTCTGCCTGAACTAAGGAGTAGTTTAAATAAATAACATTATGTGTGCAGATTGCATGAAATGGTTTCATGTCTGTAATTCGTTATTTTCAAGAGATTACCTTTCTTTAAATTAAGCCTCTTTTGAGATGAAATTTAGTATGTATTTTTTCTGACTAAAAGGTAACGTATCTTATGTCATATATAAAAACCAAATTTACATAATCTAGCTTTAGTGGAGATAGTCCTTCAGATGTTTTTTATGTAAGCCACTGGAGAGTTTCCTGTAAGATTTAAATCTGTGAGATAGCTGAGAAACTTTTTGCAAGTAGGCGACTTTTTTAACCTGAAAATTGCAAACTGAAATAACAATATTCAGCTCCGTGCAGTGAAAATTGTATGTCCTCAGCTATGCTGAGAAGTGTTAACTTTCTTTTTAAAATGAGCCAAGTCAGAATTTATACTGTTGTTGCCATGGGTCGGAGAGGATTGATGCTGCAATGCCTGTGCACGACAATACTGACTACAGGTTTATGCATCAATGTTAAGATCAGCTCCTGGAAAGGGCCTTCAGTTTGGAATCTTCTGTTACTAGGATTCACTTCCACGTTGCAGAAAATTTAATGCAGAATAGTATAATTTGACCTCTTTGAATACGTATGTCCTGAATACAGGATCCTAACAGTTACGAAGATTGCTCTTTATTTTCTTGAAAAAAGCAGTAGCTATATATATATGTAAACACACACTAGGTCATTTAGCAGTGCTGAGAAATTGCTGTTATAAATTAGAGCTTGTAATTCTCCCATTATACACAGACTTTCAAATAAAGATGAAGAATCCTATATTTAATTCAGGGTTTTTGATGTTGGGCTAGGAAAGGGGTCAAGATCCAAATAAAAGCCAGACAACTCTGAAAAAATATTCAATTTCTTTACATTGGAGAAAAGCACTGCCTTTTCTAGAGCACCTGTAATCTCGGCTGATGTAGGAATAGCTTTGTGATGCATTTTTCCTCCTTCAATTTACCTTGGAGGCATTGAACCCTCTTAATCCTATGCAAGCTCTTGCTGCCTAGGTACAGTGTCTTCAGCTGGTGTTTGCTGCCATCTACCGTTTTAATTAGAAGACTTAATCAGTTTGGCCAGGAGCGTGTTCATATTGGCAAAACCGGCAGGTTAGCTGGTGTGGGAGAGAGGGGAAACAGCAGTGTAGCTGTTCCGTGAGGTTGCTGCAGTAAAACCTGTACCTGCAGAAGAGCCCCAGCAGTTTCATTTCAACACTAGTCAAATCACCAAACGACTTTTTTTTCCCCCAAAACTAACTGAAAGGGTCCGTTGTTGCCTCAGCTCCATGAAAAACCACCTCGGCTCATTACAGAAGATTATTGTCAAATGTGTTTTACAGGACATTCCATTACTGCTTGGGTAGGAGGGGGTGAGCTGCTGAATTTCTCCCATTTTCTTCTTAAAGTTACATTTTTTTTAGGCTGGTACATTTAGAATGCATTATTGTTTATTTTAAGTTAGCTTTTAGCTTTCAGTTTTTGTAAAGAACAAAAATTAAGATAGTCCTTGTTTTCTATTTTTCAGCTCTTCGTTGGTCTTGGATTTCCATATGAGGGGCCGGCTCCTTTAGAGGCTATCGCTAATGGATGTGCTTTTCTAAATTTAAGATTTAATCCACCAAAAAGTAGCAAAAACACAGAATTTTTCAAAGGCAAGCCTACGCTCCGAGAGGTAAGCTTTATCAATCTTGGTAACTTCTTTATTGAAAATGATTGTGGATTTCTTTTTAGTAACACAATACAGGAAAATAGCATAAATGTTCACAGTTTATTGCAAAAGGTGTGCAATTGTCATTTTCTTTTGCCATCAATGGGGATTATCAGTCCTTATTTTTACAGGATAATAAAAATTTTTCATTAACATACTGTTAAGCTTTACCTCTAGCTTTGCCTATATGTACATTCTGCTAATTCTTATTGATAGGTCATACATAAACTGAAGCTTCACTTGAAAACCGGATGTTCTGCCCAGGAATAGATCATGTCATCTGATACATGATTTGTCATTTGAAAGCGGTTTTGTTTTGTTGAAGAAACAAACATCACTGTGTACTGTGTAGGAAGTAAATAGGTGTTTAAGTAAATTATAAAAATGCCATTTGTGGGTGGTTCTGTGTGTTTTGGGATATTGGTTTTTTTCTTCAGAAGAGATCTGCTCAAGGCACTGTTGAGCTAAGGTATTAATGGTCACAGCCCACCGTGTTTGTGGTTAAACACTGAAGACATTTGGAGAACTGACTCTGTAAGAGAACAGGAAGAGCAAACCTCAAGCTTTCAAAACAGCCAGTGTGTTTAGACTCTAGTAAGAGAAAAATGAGGCTAAGTAAGCTAGCCCCTCATCCTGGCACTGACTTTGGAATCTTTTTCTTCTTAGGTGTAGGTAAAATTCAGCCTAAACCGCTTGCAAGCATTTCACAGTCATGTAGCCATTTCTGACTTTAGCACTTTTGCCTGTGACCATGGCTTGGTCATAGGTGTGTATGCATATTTTCTGTACATACTTACCTGAAGGGAAAGCTCTCTGGTAACACTTAGATGGTGAGAACTTTGCACAGCCATATTTCCCAATTCAAGTTACGCTTGGGCTATATAAATTGCATACTGAGCGGCGCCAGCTAGTTTATAAGCAAAAGACAGTTTGCCATTTTAAACCAGGAACATAAATTCCTTACGATTTTATGATCTAGGACTGTAATTGCCTTTCAGCTTGTACATTCAGCTTGTACAGGACGTGAGTTCAAACTCGCCCCCTCTCACAGCTTGCATAGCTAACAAAGGAGATAGCAATAAGGGAAAAAAAAATCTGTTTAATCTTTCTCCTTGGGCTTGGCACTTTTCAAAGCTTTTCTTCTGTGGGTCATTCAACTGTCTCGTTTCCAGTTGTTCTGTGCCCAGACAGTATAACTGGTCAGGCTCAGTAAATAATCTGGACCCACTTAACTCTTTAGTAGGAATTTTAGTGCCTGGAATACCATGCTAAATCCCGCTGGCATGTGTCAGCACTAAGAGAAATGCTGTGCACCTGAATTGCACAGAAAAATAATCCCTATTGACTGCTTCAGTACAAAACAATATAATGAACATTCATCACGAACATTGCTGCGTTCACATGCTCTGCTGACCTGTCCTAAGAGTAACCTTTTCTCTAACTGGTTTTCACAACTGCATTTAGATCCGATTGCCAGTAACCCATGTGCTGGTTCTTTGGGATTAAGAAAGTCCTTAAATCCTTCTCTCAGTGTTTTCAAGTGTTAAAGGAGAACAAAAAAAGCTCGTGTAGTTCTGTGAATTGCTTATCCATAGACCCATTTGAAGGTAAAGTCTGTGTTTAGTACTTTTGTAAAGTAACTATTGCAAGTCACTGTTTTTCTCTTGTTCTAGGTAGAGTTTATTGGAGGGGGGGGTTAACTGTTTCCCCTCTACCCCCAAGATGGGGTCCTGTAGTGAAGACTCTGTACAAAAACTGGAAATGGCAATTTTCATTTTAGATCAGCAGTTGTTTTCTCTTGGGACATGATTTTGCTGGGGGAAAGAGCCAGAAAAAAAAAAAAGAAAAAATCACCTTCAAGCAGCTTGTTTTGTACCAATATTTCTTCTCCATTCTGCGTTGTGTTGTGTGTCGCCGTGCCCCACCCCCCAAGAAAGAAAACACTGTATGCTAAATCTAGTTGAAGTGTGTACTTGGTGGGATGTGGAGTCTTTCATTTTACGCATTTAGGAAGGGGAAAAAAAAAAAGACCTGGAATTAGAAATTAATTCCAAATCTATTTATGAGAATTCTTATAGATTTTTGTTATAGACAGAGGGAGTATCTCCTGAATATCTAAAACATAAAGCCTCAGCTAATTAAAGCATTTCAGTATTAGGATATAGTCTTAATATTTTTTGAGAGTATAGATGTAGAATAACTGGTGCAATAAAAATATGTTGCTAGTTATTCTTAATACTTAAAACAGCTACTAGTCTGAGAAGTTTAGTTGTTTGTCTTCCAGATCAGATCTGGCTTTCACGTTGCCGTCTGTCTGTGTGAGATGGTAGAGAAAGAGTGGTCTAAGGCATAATTCCTAAAGCTTTGTGGAATTTAAAACACTTTTTTATGTTCATATTTTTAAAGGTGCAATAGAAGGGTTTTTTGTTGTTACTGAAAGCAATAGGAATGTAGCTTCTGCCATCTAAAGTCCGTACGTAAGTGCCCTGGGAGCTCAGTCTTGGTAACCCAAATTTGTAAGTCATACAGTTTTAGTGGCAGTAGAAATACTATCGAATAAAGGTTAGAATATATCAGTCTTCAAGAAGGATTGGACTTTTTGGAGGAATTTAAAATACGCTGATGGGGGTACAGTGCAGTGGGCTGCAAGTGAATGTAGGCAGCTACAGAAGCCATCCGTGTGCAGAAGCATCCTGAGTTACCGGCCCAGCAGCTGCAGTCCCCCAGCCAGTCCGCGAGCCCTCACCACCACGCTGTCCTGCAACCAAAGGTGGGAGCCTGCACAGAGTCCCCTGGAGCATTGGTCTCGGAGCACAGATTTATGCTAGCTGGTCCTGTATGTAACTATAAGACTGGTTTGTCTTGTCCACAAGCGAAATGCAATAGGCAAATTTTTTTTTAAGTAGTTTCTTGCATTCACTTGAGGAAGAAAGCAAGTACGGTATACACCCAGTGCAGGAGAAGGTTCTTCCCAACAGATACCATTTCCTACTTCAGATCTTTTGCACTGACCAGATTTTTCTTTGTATCATGCATAAAGAGGCAGCTGTATAAAAATTGTCTACGAATAATCTATCCTGTAGGGGGTTTTTTTGTATTTATTTAAAAAGCAATTTTCGATACCATTTCCTACTTCAGATCTTTTGCACTGACCAGGTTTTTCTTTGTATCATGCATAAACAGGCAGCTGTATAAAAATTGTCTACAAATAATCTATCCTGTAGGGGTTCTTTTTGTATTTATTTAAAAAGCAATTTTCTTTGAGGCCATTGTGAAACAGTCCCTCTCTTCTGCAGCTTTTGCTTCCCCTCCATGTGTTCGTTTGCATGTGCCTCTCACTCGTGTGCAGCCTGTCACAAAAATTACTTTTAGTGCCGTCCTGCTAGTTCTGAAAGTAATCTCTAATGTAGCTTTTCTTAGTTATCTACTTGGTTATTTATTGAATTTCATTCATATTAAATGAAAGTGGTGAGTAAAATACCAGTAGACACTCTTATTGAGGTCAAATCACTCTTGTACTATCAGCAGCGAGAGTCAGAATTCATCTAAGCGATATAAATGATTCTTTATTCACTACTACTCACAGAAGCTTGGAAATGATTGAAATTTGAAGGAGAGACAGGGCAAGGATGTTGTCTGAAGGTGAGACAGGGCAAGGATGGCATCTCTTGAAGGCAGTCGTGCAGGTCTAACCAGGACTGGTAGCAATTACGGGTTGTGAAAACGCAGGGCTGCTCTGAATGAGCTGTGGGGAAGCAGGGTCACGTTGTAAAAGTAATTTCAGTAAGCATCAAGTCTTCTGTGATGCAACTGTGAGGATCAAAGCCACAAATGAGAGGTGCACAAATGTTACTTGTGATCTGCATTATTACCTGATTTTCAGTTTTCCAACTAAGTTCACTCTCTAAATTTAAACACAGAAAATCTGAAAGATAACTCAGAAGGAATGACGCTGTCAGATTCTAGCTGAATTCTTGCGTTATCCTAGTGCATTTCATCGAAAAAGTCTGATGAAGAGAGTGAGAGGGAAGGATATCTTGACACATTAATTTTTACCAATATCATTTCTTCCTTTCAGTTGACATCTCAGCATCCCTATGCTGAAGTTTACATTGGGAAGCCCCATGTCTGGACTGTAGACATCAACGATGTTTCTGAAGTCGAGAAGGCTGTGAAATCAATTTTGAATCAAAAGGTGAGAAATGCATCCTCAATTTGTCATCAGTGCTTGAGGGTGTTTTGTGTACTGCACGCAGAGTGCTTCCTAATGTTAGTCTAATTAAAGTTGAGTGCTGCACTTTGGTAGGCTACTGGGGAAAAAAAAAATGTTATTACATCTCTGTGGTATCTGATTATCATGTTTTAGTACTGGATTTTCAGGTTTTTATCTGAAAAAAATGAGCGTGAGTGAATTTGTATAGAAATGTGAATTTCATATGTAAATAATGCAGCAATCTGTATTTTCTGTGCATTCAGTGAGGAAGTTTCCTTGTAGATTCTTAGAGCATTGCAGGCTGCCCAAATACATGCTCAACTCCTTTGACTGATACTGTAGCCTTGACATAACCCCACTGAAGTGCTTGTGCACTTACAGCGTGGAATTGTAACGAGGGCACATCAAGGGGTGGGGAAAAAAAAATCGAAGTAATTTTCAAAGGTATCACATTCTTTTTTGTCACAATGTTTTCTTTTTCACTTCAACTCTAGAACTGAAACTTAGTTAAAACAGAAGCTCTGGAATCCGGTAGGGTCTCAGGCTAGCTTTATATCTATTACTTTGCAGTATACCCTGAGTTTCCTTAAAGATAATCACTGAGCAACTTTTATTGACGTTACAAAGGAGCAAAAATCAGCTTAAACTGCTGGTGGTTTTGTGAAATTGTGATTTGTTAATGAGTTTATTTGCATTTATTGTTGCTACTTAAGCTACAATGGTAGTACTTGGAATGCAAGCTGCTACCACACAGCGCACCACAAAGTTCATTTAAACAAAAAACCTTCTAACCTTAACACACTGTGTTTCCACAGATTGACCCTTATTTGCCCTATGAATTTACATGTGAAGGAATGCTTCAGAGGGTGAATGCGTTTATTGAAAGACAGGTACGAACTGTTATTGTGGATGACTCTTGTTTTATGTTGGGAAGGGAGGACTCTCCATTTTAAAGCTTCTCAGTGTTGCTGTTCAAGTAGAAATAGTAGCTGTGCAGTCCTTGGTGTTATATCAAAGCAGAAAGGCAAAGTAATTTTTCAGTGTATATGTGACTTCTTTAACTGTGTACACACAAAAAATCTGTGGATCATGAAGTATCGCGTAAATATAGAGATACGTTTGTGGTAGAACGGCACTTAGGCTAAAGCCTCGAGGTGGATTTTTCAAGTATTTAGTTTCAATCGATGAAGCTTTAAATGGTTTGGAAACCAGTTACTTAAAGGACTTTTGGTGCCTATGCATTATTGCCAGCTGAGAGCAGCAGAAGGTATTGAGTTGGAGTCATAAACTGCAGAGATTTACATGGGATCCTGATTTCTAGAAACTGTATGTTTGCTTGGACTTCTGCCCAAGGCCAGATCTGTTGCAACGGCCAGCTCTGCCTTTGTTCTGGCTGCTGCAGAAGAGAGATAGGAATAACCTGTATCTCTGTTATGCCAATTAACTTCCAGGATTTCTTTCAAAAGCACTGCACATGCTCCTGTACCTGTATTTCTGAAAGAGGACAGTGTTACAGGCAGTAATAAAGAATAACACGGCTTCAGATCAGAAGTGTGATTAATATAATATAGCTATTTCCAGTTTCCTGGCAATAAACACTTGAAGCTTTTTGCTGCTGCATTGATGACATAGCCTGTAAAAGTATCTCTGCTTCTTTTGCTTCTTCTACCTGAGTTAGCTGCAATTGAGAGTTTTTGTCAATACAGGAGGAAACAGAGCTCAGTGTAAGGGAGAAAGAGACAATCTAGAGATAGCATCTGTGGGGCAAAACTGTCTCCCCCGCTCTGGACCTCCCCCAAGGGCTAAGCCCTGGCCTCTGCTGCGTGCTTCTCAGAAATAAATGCAGCAGTGTAATTCTGTTCATTGCTTTGACTAATTGTCAAAAGCCATTATTGTTTCACAGCCCTCAGGATGCTCAAGCATCATTATTAGCGGCATGTGCTTAGTGCTGTGCTTGATTAACGTGTCAGATGAAGCAAACATAAAGGTTGAGACCTTATTTTGAAGAGTTTGTGGTGGGAGGCAGGCAGAACAGAGAAAGCCGCACAACCTTGGAACAGGAATGAAGATGCATGGAGTTGATCCGGTTCAGAGGTTGTGGGGTACATTAGCCACGAGAGTGTGGTCTTCAGGGGATGTTTGAATGTGAAGAGGATGGGGCCAGATACACTCACACACAAGTCATCCTATGGGACAATGAAACTAGGATTTAAAGGAGTTGTCCAGAGGTCTCCTTTTGGTGCCTTGGCTCAGGGTCTGGAGGGAGGACAGTGTTCACAAGAAAGGTTTAGTGAATTCCCCGAATCTTCAGGTCCAACAGCTGGGCTGAAGGTCCTTAGGGTCTGAAGTAAGAGAACTACTGTGAGCTGTGGTTTCACGTTTAGCAGTGCCACCTTCACCTGGATTAAACCAGCTTTCACTCCAAGCTGCTCCTTCCTGCCAGTGCACTGCCCCTGCCAGCAGCCCAGCATGGCTATTAAGTGCATCTGTGCCATCTGCTGAATCCATCCCTTGATCCTGGTTGCTCTGTGGCTGCACAAACAGTTGTGTCAGCTCTGCAGAGTGGCAGCATGGGGTGGGAACCAAAGGGCGGGACTGCTTGAACTGGCGCTGCCATCAAAGGAGCAGCCAGGCAACTGCAGCTGAAGCAGCTGAGGGATTCCCTGTTGCAAACTTGGGAGCTGTTGGATGAGGCAGGCTGGGCTGATGGAACAGGCACGCCGACTTTGAAAGATGTGGTCAAGCGGAGTACTTGGTAACCCGGCAGAAAATGTTTTTGGCAGGGCTCTGCTAGGTTAGCAAACTGACTTGGCTCAGCAGAAGGTCAGCTGAGCACCAGAGCTTGGTGAAGAGAGTGGGGTGAGAACATTCAGCCAAGAGCAGGAAAAGCCAGAGGGAGGAGGACGCCTCCTTTGACAGCAGGGCTAAGCCTGTCTCACCTTGAAATTGTGGTTATAGGTAAAACAAACATAAACGCAGTCTCTGGTGAAGCTTAACCTCCTGTTTTACATAATGTCATTTCTTTATTTTGCCCTTATACATGTAGGGTTGTGGGGCAAGATAGGCTGGGGTGAAGATACTAGTTGGTTGCTTTTAATGGTTGATAGGAAAACTAGCCAGAGACAGCAAACTGAAACACAGCCCTGTGTGCTGGTACTTGTGAAGGTGAGGTACTCTGAGACATGCTTCAAGGTGGCGTAAGCTGAGGAAGACTTCCCACCAAGCTATGGACCAGAAACGGGAGGCTGTGCCCAGTTTTGGGGAAGAATTTTCAACTAAGAGATGTTAAAAGCTGAAGCCGCCAGCAAATGGTGGAGCCTCACAAGTGATTCCCTGTCTTTGAAAAACTTCTCTTCTGCCTGCACTAGCTGTGAATCCAATCCAATATTACAGTATTATATTGTATATATTACATTAGTATATGTCATAGTACTATATAGTATCTGTTACAGTATTGGATTGGATTTTGAACCTATATAGATTTCCTCCTGCATCTAGTGTTTTTAATACTGATTTATAAAAGGACAGAATAAGCAGGGCACTTAAGTCCAAATAGCAAAATGACCTTTTTGAAACAACCTCATTAAAAAGTACCTCTGGTAGTAGTAAAAAATAGACAGTACCGATCTATTTTTAGGCTGTTTTTTTTAGATGCTGTTAAAATTATTCTGCCATAAATATGCTCCGAAATTACTCTTTTTTTTTTTAATATGGCACGAGGGAATGGCTTAGAGCTGCATTGGGGAATGGATGGATTCAGAATTTCCCAATATCCATTCAGTTCAGAATGGATATTGGGAAAAAGTTCTTCACTGAGAGGGTGGTCAAGCACTGGAACAAGCTCCCCAGGGAAGTGGGCATGGCCCCAAGCCTGTCAGTGGTCAAGAAGCATTTGGACAACGCTCTTAGATACATGGTTTAGCTTTTAGGTTGCCCTGTGTGGAGTCAGAAGTTGGATTCTGCGATCTGCCTGGGTCTCTTCCAACTCAGGATATCTGTGATTCATGATTGTATAATACTAAATTCATGGTTAGACCTGGGAGTATGAAAACTTCCTCCTTCAGCAGAGGAAATCTAAACAGAGGGAAAAAAACCACCAAACTGGTAAATGATTTAGGGTCTTAGCTTCATTAAAATTTCAAGTAGTTCAGCCTTTCTAAGCTTTGGGTCACACTTTGGGACCTGTTCATACAAATTTTAGTTTTGTCAGGAGAAAGCAAACCATGATGGTCTGGGCCCAGATTTTTTGATCACCTTTTGATGAGGTGATGTTAAAATAATGGCTGAGTATCATGGAATGTTATATAAAACCAGGGATTAAAATTTTCTCTTTGCTTTTTCTCATTTTAAATGTCAAGACCGTAAGAACTTGTCTTTGAATAGTTTTCGCTAGCAAGTGTGTTTAGATACCATTTCTTCCTTCTCTCTTTCCACTGTGGTGACACTTGACTGCATGCATTATTTATAGCCAGTTTTTTTGAGCGTTGGGAGAGCACTTTTACTAGCAGTTCAACCAAGAAGAACAAGCAATCTCTGAATTCTGGTTGCTTTGTAGAAATCTTCGGTCTTTTTTGAGTTCGGCTCACTCCATAGTGCTGCGAGTCCCCTGATCCTTTCCAGATGGCTCTGGCACTTGAGACCTTTCTCACCTACAGGGTAACTGGCCTCTGGAATTCTTCTCCTACCAGAACTTCCTCCTGACATTTGTGCTGTTATGAAAATAGTTCTGCTAGCGCTAAGTCAGTGAAACAGAAATCACTGAGAAAGCCCAAAAGGGGGTGGATATGTGGAGTTGCTTTATGATAAATTAAAAAAGGTAAAGGTAGGGAAGAATCTTCTTTGGGAAGAATGGTACTACCACATTTCAAGTAGCAATCAAAGGTGATAATTCCCTCATGCTAAAAAAAAATACTCTCTTTAATTGTGCTTGAATTACTGATTTTAATACAACCGAAATGAGTTGCAAAATGAGCGTTTGGGTGACAATAACCACTTATTTTACTAATGGGGAAAATTGCTAGCAAGGGACTGGATGCATTATAATAAAATATGATCTGTCACTGCAGGATTTCTGTCACGGGCAGGTGATGTGGCCCCCATTAAGTGCCCTTCAAGTAAAAATTGCTGAACCTGGAAAATCCTGTAAACAAGTTTGTCAGGAAAGCCAGCTCATCTGTGAGCCTTCCTTCTTCCAGCATCTTAACAAGGACAAAGCTCTGCTTAAGTAAGTACTTAAGAGCACGAACATGTTATTTGGTCTCTTTTTATTGCACTAGTTTTTGCCACACATGAAGTTTAGTGTACGAATTTTGTGAGAAGGGAAGGTGGGGAGAGAAGTACTGTCTGTCTGGCAGCAGCAAGCTGTGCGGTTAGTCCTTCGTAGCAGTGGATGGTAGAAGTTACTGCTGTGGTGAGAGCACCATTCCACATAGCATGTGTTTTTGCAGCGAGGAGTACAGCACCAGGGCCAAAAAATTACATCTCTTCCTTCCCCCCCTTCATCTCCTACGTGTGTGCACCGTACAGTGCCTGTTGATGTTGGGTTGCTTGCACTGAGCGAAGATGCTTGTGCTGCAGGGATCGCAGATGCCAGAACTGTCATTGTATTTGGATGGACCCTTTGCAGCCCTGGCCGAGCAGGGGCACTATTCCATAGCTTTTGCCGTATCCTTCTGAGACTTAGTGAACTTCCATGACTCTCAACGCTAATCCTAACTGTGCTCAGTCAGCTGGGTCAGAAACGAAATGCATTTTGTTGCAGGAAATAGAACTCTGTACACGGTGTGTGATTTCTATCAGTTGTTCCCATGATTTTAAATACAGCACTTACAAAGGGCTGCTTTTATTTAGTGAGCTCCCTCTTTGGTCACAATTAACATCCATATTGAAACATCTATATCCATTGGCAATTAGCAATTACTGTTTCTGCAAACCTTTTGTCGGTATTGTCCTAGGTAAAGAATTGTAAACCCTTGTACGTTAGAGGTATTAGTACCAATTTATAAAGCTTATCAACTATGCATTAAGGAAATTGATGTTGCTTTCAGGTGCTGTCTCTTTGGAAATATGTCCGTGTTCCTTTCAGATGAAAACAAAGCACTCAAAGCTGGGCTCCAACAATGCCTGCTAGGGAATCTGCTTCCTAGGTTTTCTATCTCCACTTTTTGCTAGATTAAATTGCAGAAGGTTTTTATTTTTGTGTTTCATTTGCAAAGTTGTAATTTCCAGTGGAGTTCAGAAGCAGCTCATGTAAAAACTTTGTCAGGCTTCTTTTCTAGCTGTCTAGGCAAAACTATAATTCTGGGGGGAAAAAAACCTGTTAAATGCTGAAAGCTACCTATGTTTTCAGAATAAGTGAAAAACAAGCTTCTGCTGGAGTTGCTATGCTTGTGCTTCAGCTTTGTGGTCAGAAAACGGCAACGCGCATTTTTCTTTTTTCAGCTAGCTAGCGCTAGCTGGTTCCTCGGAGCAGTGGGTCCAACACAGCGGCATCGCCTCATCCTTGCAGTTTGGCGGGCTGCACCTTCAGCTACCCAGGGCTGCCTGGCACAGCGTGGCTTGCCTGGGGAAGATCCCTGCTGAAATCAATGAGACTATCTCCTGATTTCAGATTCTTTGTTTTTGTCTTACTAGAAATGCATGGTGCATTTAAATATTATGCTTTGGGGGACAGTCAAAAGCATTTTTTTCCTTTTTAACTTCTTTCTTTAAGCTTTAGGAAACCGAGTAAAGCTGAAAAGACTGTGCTGCCCTCTGCAGAGAGAATCGGCGCAGGCAAAAAGAAATGAGAGTCATGTTCTGGAACCCTGCAATTCTAAATGTACTTGATTTAGGATGTAATACAGCATTTTATTTTATTTCTGGCAAGGAAGGATGAAAACTGTACCAAACTCCTGTAAACTCCACTGCAATTTAGATCATGTGCTTTGCTTTTTAGGCATAATATCGAATGTCTCACCATGGAGTCTGCAAATGATATTCTGGTCCCCTCTTTTGATGGAAGGAGGAAGCACTGTGTTTTCCAAGGTGACCTCTTATTGTTCAGCTGTGCCGGATCCCACCCCACCCACAGAAGAATCTGCCCCTGCAGAGACTATATTAAGGGGCAGGTTGCGCTTTGTAAAGACTGCCTATAGCAGCAGCAGCAGCAGAGCTTCTTTTGAGTTGAGGACAAAATGTAAGTAGTTTTGAGAGGAGCTACTTACTACTTCCTGCACTTTTGTCCAGGTTTTTCGCTGCAGGCAGAGCTATCATTGCTGGGCAGAATTATCTACTAAGAGAGGAGGGATTCATAATAAACAGCTAACTGATCTTTTTTTCCTATAAGAACATTTGCAGTGTAACTTCAGATTCCTTCATCTGTTTGCGAAGAGAAATGGGTTTCATGTTCTACAGTGATTTGAAGATGACTGCACAGAATAGTTTGTAGAAAATCCCCAGACCCATCAAACGTCTTTTTTTTTTTTTGTCGTTTGGGTAAAGTGTTTTCTATTTTTTTAACGAGTTGGGACATCCCCCATCATGGTTAGCTAAAGGATCTCAACTTCATTCCAGTAGAAAATTGAAAAAAGTGTGCTTGAGGGAGGGGGGTGCAGGGGAGGGAGGACTAACATTTTGTTCTAGGTGCACTGTTTTGGGTACCACTTTAGCTCGAACGGCTATAAAGTGGTTTACTTCACAAGAACTCGGAATCACAAGATAGCTCTGTACCCTGTTATGGGGTTATCTGGGCCCAGTTCTTTCTTCCTTTTCTTTTTTTTTTTTTTTTAAATCTTTGTACGCAACAAAGTATTGTCTGCATCGCAGCCGCTGCGTCGGAGCAGTCTAAACAGAGAGTATCATGAATGAGCAAATAGGCAGTTGCCAGCGTGTGACACATCATCTCGGTGACTCGACAACTGACTAGGGTTGTGGCATCCTTCGGTGTGGAAAAGCTACAAAAACATCCTGCCGTTTTCGGAATGGACTTGTCGCAGTTTACTGGTCCCATTTAGAGAGTAATCCTTGGAATTTGCCCATGCTTCTGTTGTAGTCTGTCTACTAGAAATACTGTGTGAAGCAAAAAGTATTCAGCATCATTGGAGCAATATTATCGTTAGAGCCTCAGTTTGCTACGGCTTCCAGTAGTTAAAGTGTTGCTGAATGACATAGAAAGGTTAAACTAAGCTAACTATAATTATTGTGTGGTAGAAATGTAAAATGTCTTCATAACTAGCTAGGTTTTTAAAGAGAAATTTTTTGTGAAGAACAAGAAAGAGGAGACAAACAACTGCTAAGAAAAGCATTGATCAATCTTGTGGGTTCTTTGATTGTTTTTCTGGTTGGGGGGGGTGTTTGTTTGGGGTTTGTTTTTTTCTTTTTTAAGCAGGCACACCAGTTACAGATTTCAAAAAACCAAGAGTTTGGAATTCAAATCAAACTTCATTTTTTTAGAGCAGCAAGTTGAATCTTCTAACCCGCCTTCTTTTTATAGAGGTAATTTTTGTCATTTTCAGCGGAAGGTGGCATGCTTGACAGCACCACTTGTAGTCAGGAAGTGATATGCTAAGATCAGTGAGAAACAAACCTGCGGTATATTTTGAAAGCAGTCGTAGTCTGCAGGTTTACAATTTGGACGTGCTCTGATCATACGGGAAAAAAACTCAGATCAACATGAATGTTTTTTTCATAAAGATTAACAAATGTTACCAGGTAATAGTGAAAAGCATAGGTATTTTAAATTTTCATTCTTGGATATATCCAGTTGGTTCAGATTTTTCTTGTAACCGGCGTTCATTATCTGTGTGTGAATATTGGTGTATCTCTTGACCTACCAAAGACCAAGCAAGGGAAATCCTACTTAATCTTGGATAAATCCTCAAGACAAGAGAACAGAACAGTATACATTTAAAGTTTCAATTTCGAAGCAGTGAATTAGCTTTCTCAAGGTTTTTGTTTCCTGCCTCAGCACTCCTGATGGTGTTACCTTGTAACGCTCCCTACCACTGCTGTGGACTACATGGGAACTTAATCCCGAGAGACTGTCGACTATCCAAAAAGGGTATGTGGGAGCTGTTGAACAGCAGGGCCACCAGTAACTGGGTAGGGATGATGATAAAATCGGCTGTATTTTAGAGTAATTTTCCAGAAACAGGACAGCTGGGTTCTATAATGGGAGGCAAACTTTCCTTATGAAAAGAAAACAAACACAAACTAGTATGAAAATCCTTACAGTTACCATAGCTCAGCATTTGCTTCAGTCAGCACAAACGTAGGTTGCAATAGTTTTAATACCCCAGAAAAGCCGGGGGAGGAGGGTCGGGAATGGGCCTGAGCAGGCGCAACAATTCATTTTGTATTTATATAAAATACTCCCTGCATACCTGGGCATATTCGTGCAACTGGAAAATCCTGCGTATTAAAATATATACACTTATACCTGGTGCTGAAAGTAAAGGCAGCAGCAGAATTTGCCTTTACCCCTTCAGCCTGAGGTTCTTCAGGCAGGAATTTAGTTTGGAATGAGATATCACAGAATTACGTCAGAAACAAAGATTTGTATTGTGTGCACTTAAAGAATGCAAAACACGTAGTTTCTGCTGTAGTGTAATTCTTTGCTGTAAATACATACTTGCTTGTTTCCCCCCCACTGTATAGTCCACATGGCATACTGCCTTTGGTTTTGCCTCCAAACCTTTAAGGATGGGAGGGGTTTGGTATTTGTTATTATAAGATTTTCTGGTCTAGTGCTTTGCTCAATGCTAAGTTTGCCTTTACCACAGCAGGGAGAGCCTGTTATAAGCTCGTTTTTTTTCATGCTGTAGCAGTGTTTCTTTCTAGTCTACTGAACTGAGTTACTGCATACTGGCAAAAATGAACCGGCAAACACCCGTGCCACTTGCGTTTCAGCCAGGGGCAGAACTTCTAATTTGGCTTCAGAATTGGTGGGGTGTGATCCCATTTCCACTGAAATCTATAAAGAAGACTCATAAATCTTAAAGAAAAAAGAATCCACCTATAATTCGATAGGCCTCTATCATTAATTTTAAGCTCTCTTCTCAGAAGAAACCTTACTTTTATGAAATACAGCTTCAGTCTAAATTTCTGTAAAAGGAGACTATCATACGGGAACTGTAAGTGCATAAACTTTGTAAAGGTTGCTCACTAAACCCGATACAGCACTCCCCCATCACACAGCAGTGTTCGTTCGTGCATCGATAAATAAGTGAATCCTTCCGCAGGTGATCGCTCAGGCAAATCCATGTGGGACTATCTAAAAGTTTGAACGGTTTACTGAAACGTATACTATATATCCACCTTCCAGGACAGAGGGCAGCCTTCTGCCCAGGTTCCACGACTATTTTCCTTCCTAATTAAAGACTAAAGGTGTAGTCCAATTATTGCACTTAAACAAGGATATTAGAGATGGGACTGTGCTACTGTTTCTCAGTCTGGCAGTAAAGCTTGCAGCTTCCTTTACTCAGAAATCAGGTTTTTGCATGACTTGCATTTGAATATATTGATTCGCGATGGATGGGAAAAAATGTCAAAAGTTGAATATAAAAACATTTTACAAGCTTTTAAACATATCTCTCATATCAAGACATTCTTTGGTTTAAAATTTTGTATTTTTGTATGTGACCTAGTTTTTTTTCAAAAATCTTGTTCCTACGAGATTAGAAAACTTGAGAGAAGCATTTACGTATTTATTAAAATTAACATAAAAGGCTTGCCTTTGAAAGGTAAAGTTGGTAAATACACACTGTTTAAAAATGCCAATAAAAACCTCATTTATTTCATATATGCAAGTTGATTTGCACATGTATAAATAGAGTTGCTTTTTGCATTTTTTGCTTAGTTTCTATGTTTCTTTTTGTAATTTATAGTTGCAGCTGTGTGTTTGCTTGTTTATATCAGATTATGTTTCTCCTACAAATATTTAATGTTTATGTGCCTTTTTTTACTTTCTTTGGGGTTTGGATGGGTGTTTGGAATAGGGACACTGTCTGAACAAGTATAATGGAACACTAATTACAGGTAAAAATAGCGCTTGATGACTGTACAACTTAGCGGTATGAATTCTCAATGTTTTTAGGTAGTGGGGAAATCTGTTCTAAAACTGTAAGGTAAGGGTTAATGAGATAAAACTATAACTCTTGCAAAACATTGCTTCTGCAAGCAAAATACCCTTTACTGAATATCTGTAACTTGACATGAGAGCTCCTGCTGGGATGGGATGTCTGTTTAATGACCAGAGAGCAAACTAAAGCCGTTAGGAGACAATGCTAACAGAAAACCTCTAGAAACAGCCGTATCTGATTGGATCAGCTGGAAAATTGAAGATCCCCATTAAAGGTGGTGAGGTGTTGGTTTTCCGGATAAAGACGTCTGGACATGGAAGTGCACGGGGTGATTCTTGGTGTTACCAGGAGAATACAAGCCTTTTATGATACCTGCATTTACGACCCTCAGTGGGGAGGGAACTCTGGATATTCATCTTATTGCAGATGTTTTTCTTTTTAATGCTACTACTTTTCTGCAAGAAGAGTATTTTGCAAAATAGCTGCTGATGAGGTTTCAGCTGGAGATCGCAGAACGGGGTTGCGGACAGAGCCAGGACTCCGCGTCTTCCCAGCTCCGCTCTGCTCCCACCTACTCGTGCCGGCTTTTGCAACTTGCTTATTGACAAGCATTCAGACTTGCTGAAAGTTTCTGTTGATACCAGCTGCAAATCAGGTTATTAGCCGACGTCTTCTCTCCTCACTTAATCATGTTGTACTACTGTCCTTTAATATCCTCATTAATGGCCTTGGTTTATCCCTGCTATGAAAGACGTGCCCTCCCCTCGCAAAAATGAGTGGCCTGTCTAAATTACAAAGGTGATTTACGAGTTTGCAGCACTTTTCACATAAACAAAATCCAAATTGCTTTCTCAGGTATGTATTTTGCTCATAGTGCATTTCAGGACCAGATTTTGCTAGTAAAATAAATTAAATGGGATGAATCAGGCTGGATACAATCTCATCCAAGTCTAATTAACTTCATGACTCCCACTGGCTTCAGTGATAGCAGAACTCCTCCATTAATTTTTCTTCAAATTAAAAGAGCAGCTCTCCCTTTTTAATAAATATAAAGCACTGTATCTTACAAGATAAAGACCAAATGCTTGCAGGTTCTATTGTACACATACCAGCAACCAGTTTTGCTTGCTGTTACAGCATATATCATCTCTGACTAAGTTGCTGTTACTTATTATCAAAGTACCAGTTGAAGACTTGGTTAAATGGCTGTTCAGTCTGCAGTTTGGAGTTGGAGGGGTGGGGTGTTTGTTATTTTGTTTGTTTGTTTGTTTGGGGTTTTTTTAAGAGACTATTAGTTATCCGTTTCCAATTTCACAGACTTTTTTCCAGGGGTGCTAACATTTTGGCATGGCTGTTTCGTTGTGGTGTTCGCCCTACAGCTGCTATGCCTTCAACTTTCGACTTGCCATCTCCTTCCATCTGTAATTCTCCTTCGGTCCCATCGTTTCAGGGACCACTGCAAAGTCGAGGAGAATAATGCACTGACAGATGTATGCTTGTGTTCAGGCCGAAAAGGCCAGGGCAGATACGGTTTCACTGAAATACGCTTTAATAATATTGCTGTAAATGTAACAACAAAACATCCTGTTTTATGGGCAATGACTTAAATCTCGTCTTCATATTTTTAAGCAGCTCTGTAGGGGTTTTTTTTTCACATTAGTTTGTAACTTCTGAATATTACATTTAAATGGAATGTGTAAACAGCAAACTCTGTGTATCGAGTGTAAAATGTTTACTGTCGGAATGTGTGGAAAATACCAGAGGCTGAACCCCGGAACGCCTCAGATGTGAGGCACCGTTCATGTTCGTTCTTCCAGGAAAAAATGATGAAGTGCAACTGTTGCCAACGTGTCTTGCTTTTATAGGTGTAATCCTTTACATAGTCATATAATTGAAGCCAATAGTATGTTTTAATTCAGCAGACCTCTCTCAACAGCACTAAGCCACCTACTTAGATTGTGCTTTATTTACCCCTTTAATAATGGGTAAATAAAAGCAGGCCCTCAAAGTTTTGATAAAATGAGTAATAGCTCCACACAGAAACCACTTTAAAAAAATTCAGTAGTCGACAAGTGAATAATAATACCCTTCTCTCTGCTGGGAAGATGGGTACAGGTGCCCTTTGACTAAGGTGGGCTATGCATGGGAACAGAACGTGTCACCTTGCATAAGGGCTTGCAGATCCAAAGCGTTGAGGACCCTGCTGTCCTCACGTTTCACAGCAATGATAACACGCGGCTGCTTCTCCGTACAGGAAAACACGTCTGTATTGCACTGCGCTGTCATACTTGCAAATACTTGCAAATAGCCCTAGGTCAGTGCTGCTCCACTCGTGGCCGGTGACACGGTAGAGGCTCAGTCCTCCTCCGGGAGCCGGCAAAATCCTTGGCTTTAAGGAGAGCATGTAAATAACGCTACGGCATTTACTGGAGCCATCCAGGCACTCAGCAAAGTGCATGCAACACGTCCTGGCTTGGATTCCAGCAGCTGCAAAGTAGTAGGTACATGATAAATCGAGTGAAATTGCTGTCTGAAGGCAGTTAATTTTAATAGGGTTATACCGGGAACTAATTTATTACGTTCATTAACGGGTCTGCTGCAGTACAGTGACTGTTGTCAGTGGGGAAAACCATTTTTAAGAAGTCGTGGTTTTATTTGGTTTTCACAAAGGAGTACAGCAGAGGAGGAGGAAATGGCAGTTTTTTACCAAAGGAAAAAAGAATAAATGTTATGAGAAAAGTTACCCTGAAGATTCTAAGAGAGTTAAAAGAAAAATATAAGGGAATATTTACAAAGCTAATTTGAGCTTGGAGAAGTTGATCTCCCTGAGCTTGCTGGCTGGCTGTTGCGGAGAGGTCCTCCGGAGGGCAATTTGGGCAGCTCTTTGGGTTCTGGTCGGAATCATTCCCTGGAGGAGTCTCTCTCTCTCTGTGGGTGAAGGGGGTCAAAGTCTGAATAATCCCTGTAGCACTGTAAATTGAAGAAAAACCTACTGAAACCTGTAAAAATAAAGTTGCTGCTTCTTGCAGATAATAGTTTGGAGCCAATGAGGGTTTTTATATGTACATGAGAACTTCAGGGTCAGGCTGGTATTATGTGTGTTTGGCTTGAATTCTCTCCTAAAAGGTTGATCCTTTGTTTTATTTAAATGGTTGTGTTCCACTATATTACGTTCAAGCAGTTTGATTCAGAAAGAAGAGAACATAGTGGTTCAGATACTGTCAAGTTACTGGGGTTCAATAGGATGGGATTTTTTAATTTTTTTTTTTCTTAGAAAAGTAAATGTCTGTACTTTAATGGCATAGAAAAATGCTTTGTTTTCACTGTTGTAGAAAAAAAACTAGGGAGAACTTTATTTTTCAATAAACCTTTTTCTTGTGTGATTTGGATTTATGATTGCTTTGTGCTTAAATGGGAAGTCTGTGAGCTGCCGTTTACCCCAATGCATCGGTGTGGCTTCTCCTTGCAATTCTGCAGCTGGGCATTTCTGTCGCTGGGCCACCTCTTCAGAGGTGAGCATGAACAGTCCCATCCACCTGCATCTTGGCCATAAGAACAACAGGCAAGTAATTATCTTCTTACTGTGTTTTCTTTTAAAGGCAAGTTGGATAATGGATAAAACCAAGGTTCATTTTAGGAGGGCAGTTTTGCCACAGCAGTAGTTAGGAATTCTTGGTTTCCTAGAAATTTCCAGCACGCAAGGAAGACTGTGGAATGGCACAGTAGTAGCACACAGACATACAAGACTTGCTGGCGCAATATGTTGCGGAGTTCAAAAACAAAAGCTATGTTGTGGTAAAATAGCAGCTTTAAAGAGTGTTTGTTATCTTTCAAGATGCAAGTTTAAAGGCAAAGAGCTTGGATGGCTTGTGAAATATTTGCATATGGAACAAGAGCTCAAGTGTGGAACTTTGGACTATGTGCCTGCGTGGCTTCAGTCAGCATCACTCCCACGCCGGGCTGAGGTTTCAGCAGCTGACAGCAGCTGGTGCTGCAGGAGCCACCACCTAAGAGGCGCCCCGGAAAGTCTCTCTGCCAAAACCATCTGAGGGATGGTGACTTGTGTCTTAGGAGGAGTGGAGTGTGCGTTCAGTGCACTTGATCGGTGCCACACTAAGTCGCCTTGGAGGTTGTAAATACATATATCAAAAAAGGCGTACAATGTCAATGTCCACAGAGTGAAACTTCTTACGCGGAACCGTCAGTTTATTTCAGCTGCACCCATTCTGCTGAAAGGCTCTTTCTGCCCACCACAGTTTTTGTTAGCCCAGCCAAGACTGAGGGAAGGGTCCTCTGTTGTCAGCTTCTGCTGGCAATTTTGAGAGGTTTCAGCGGAAGTGTGCAAGAGTAATAGATCAATTAATGCGGGAGCGGTCTGCAGTAGTAAAATGAATAGTAAAAAAACCAACCAAAATGAGACCAGGTCTTTTTTTAACTGTTCACAAAATGTCCATCTGAAGCATAGGTGCTATGTACTTTTTAAAACTACACCGGAGAAAAGCAACTCCTTGCTTTCCTACAACAATACCTTTTTCCAAGATTTTTGTATGTTGAGTTTGTGTCTTTTTTTTTCTTTTTTTTTTCTTTTTTGTTTTAGAATGTGGCCACACCTAACTGAGTAACGTGAAATCAGAATAGTGCAGAAGTCAGTAACTATCAGCTTGGGATCCTTTTTATTCTCCTTACCCCAATTAATAACACACAACACTGGTAAGCAATAGCGTAAATAAAAATGTCAAACTGAAGTGGGGCGGTGAAATGCCTGCAGGTTGGGAGAGGGGCGGTGGCTTGGGTTTGGATAGCCGGTTGTCCAGGCTATTCACTAGCCAGCATTAGGGAGTTCCGTGCATCGTGGCTACACATGAT